GACTACAGAGCATTCTATTGTAAGGATGTATCCTACTTTATATAACCAATCTCTTCTTCATGGATTAAAGGTATTAAAAAATTAGTATCTTCCACATTATTTGACAAAAGTGCAAAGCTTTTGTCAATTGCTTGACTCAGTTTTCATATAGGATCATTTCAATTGTTCTATTCTCATTTCTGTTCCACCTCCTTCTGCTCCCTATTCACCCTCCAAGCAGAAATTAGTCCATGCATAATTGCCTAGATATACTTTTTTATCCTTTATTTAAAACAAAAAACAAAACAAAACAAAAAACCTTTTACATGATCCAGGACCAAATGTTTGCTTAATAAGAAATGGGTGAGTGAATTTTATTAAGTGCATTCACCTATTTTCGTTCCTTGCAAAAGTCTTCTATTAAGATATAGAGTCCATCTTTGCGAGTTATAACACAATTAATTTTGTTGGAACAGTGTTAGAAGTAATGGAATGGGAAAAGGAGCAATTTCCTATTTTCCTTCTTTCTGGCGTGATGTCCATCTGCACTTGTGCCCATTAAGTCTTGTTAATTTCCATTAAGTATTGTTTTTTAAGGCTACCACAAAAGAAAAAAAAATGCCAAATTGTGTGAATGTTTACTCTATGTTTAAGAACAAACACATGTTTTGGAATCTGTTCTCGGCTAAGAGCAGGATTGCATCAGCGGAGAGCTCTCTTGTGAAATCTTCTCCAGTCCTTCACATCTTTCTTCCCTAGTTCTCCTCACTTTTAAGTCCTGTACCAGGAATTCATGCCATCTCCAAATTTGTATTGCTTTGTCAGGGGTCACACCCCCTATGTTTTCTTTTCTTCTACGAATGTCATCTACAAGCTACTGTGTCTTTGCAACTGGCAGGCTTGATTAATGACAAATATAAAGAGTTGGGACAAAGGTCACATTTTCCCTCTGGTCCCCTAAGATGATTAAGTCAGAAACACATTCAAGTCAGACCTCCTTTAGCCAAATAGAAAAAATGTAAAACTTTTCATTTAAATATGTAAATCATTTTCTGTGGCATTTGTTCTCATTTTCAGCAAAGTTCCTAATTCTTACAAATGTCTCTAATGAGAGGATTTCTTGCTCTACATTCCTTGCCTTTATTCAGCTTATTTTCCTCTGCCTAGTCTTTGTAAATAAAGTGTATTTATTTACTTATTTGGGCGAAGACTCCCTATCTGCACCCTTGCCATGCTACCATCCTCCTTCCCACTCCAAGCCTTCCAGTCAGCCAGGGTTGTGGGCTCACATTGCTTGTTCAAAACAACTCAGGAGGGGACCAGCAGTTAGCATAATGGCTATGTCGCTGGACTCCTACGTAGTCAACCGCGGTTCGTGTCCCAGACCCGGTGGCTTAAACTCATGCAGGGCACGTGTGCGTGCGTGCCCAAGATCCCAAGAGGAGAATGGAGGAGAAGGGATTGCGTAGTGGCCATCCCCCTAGGTGGTGATTTCTCGCTTTCTGTCTCTCTGTCTCTGTCTGGCGAGTGCACGTGCCCTATAGTTAAAACCTCTCAAAAACAGAACAAAACAATAACAAAACAAAACTCAGTAATGAACAGGGTCTTCCTATATGGCTTCAATATCACACACCAGTGCCCCACCACCTGCCCCACCGTGATTGGGTTCTGCCACAGTCTTGAGTTCATTATTCCAATGAACTTACAACTACTCTTGATACATGTATGTTTAGAGAAAGCAAAAAAAACACAGCCTGGTGACACACCAAGTCCATACATAGGTCAGCTCTAGGGAGGGAAGAAGAGAGGACAATGGGGCTAAGTAGAGAATACACCTCTCTTCAAACTCTGGGGCACATGGGTTGCCATACTCCAAGGTAGCCCTGGTTCCTAAATATCTTGACTCTTCTGCCTGAGTCCCTGCATTCAGTTTCTGCAGGCAACTCTTACCATAGACATCACACTGGCCTCCTAGGACAGAGTCCTGGAGTCCTGGGTCCTCCATTCTCCCTCCTCATTCCACCAAATTATTTTTTTAATTTTTATTTTGAAATAATTTCAGAAATTCAGAAAAGTTTCCAAAGTATTATGGAGAATTACTATTTTTTAAGAGAGATTTTTGCTATAGAAAGTGCATGCACTTTCCAGAAAGACAGAAAGAGAGAAATCGACCCC